TATCACTACATGCAGGCAACCATGGGCATCAATCCGATTGGGACAATGTTCAGATATTAGACAGAGGAAACAACAAAAATGCTAGAGAATTTTTAGAAGGTTGGCATTCCAGTGAATCGTCAATCAATAAACACATCGAGATTGACAAAATTTATCAACCGATAAAAAAGAAAACTCACACACAAAGGGTCAAAGTTTAAATCAAAGAAACAATCAGTTCCAATACAAGTAGTCTAGGAGGTTTGAAAACGCACAAAAACAACCAATCACTTTCAGGGTCACCAGGAGAGATGATTAATAAACTCGTGGAGAAATCTGAAAGCTCATTTCAGATTGAAGTATGCGCTGAAGATGTCACCTATTAGGGTGATGAAAGCTTCGCAAATTAACTATCCAGCTTAGAGAACACAACCACATCAAAATCATCCACCTGAGCTACAAATCCTCTCCATCATACGTAGTACTTAAATGAATTCATTAATAATGTGTTAAAACAAAAGCCATACTCATTCCTAAAAGTTTCTCAATAATAGAAAATATGTACACCATGAAATAAATGTGAAAATTCCCAACAAATTGATCTAGTCTGACAGGTTTACATCATAAACTAAAAATCAAAACTTAATTAAATTTTAAGAACCATCAATGTTACTGTTAGCTTGATGTAAGTTAACTCTTTATCTAAACTCCTACCATAATAAGTGAGTGTAAGCATGGTATTCGCTTCCTTTTCTCCCGAAATTCTTTTAACTAATTATTTTACGATTGTGATTAACAGGAAAGAAGGTGATTTTCATAAATTACATTTGATAAATATTAGTGTTGTGATGGAGTGATAGTGAATTGTGCGTTCGTCAGTCCTGACTAGAATGTGCTTTCAGAACACGAAAATATAACGGATTAATTAATCGCTTGAAAATATATCTCATAATGAGATAGGCACAAAAGTCAGACTCGAAAAAACCGAATTTCGGAAATACCACCTTTGTTAGACAAAATACATTTTATATTACACTTATTACGGAATCCTTAGAAATTTAAGCCATACATAAACGAAACAAAACTACTAAGGGAGGCTATCATCTTAGTACATGCATAAAAAATGACTTCACCGCTAACAAAAAATGGCTTTTCTGTCCTAACACCTCTTTTTTGTTTATTTATGGGTCAGGGGACCACAAGAAGATACTTTGTAGGTCTGTATACTCTTCATCTATGATAATTAGACATTCAGATAAATTCATAGAAAATCAGTTCACGATTCGTCTTTGACTCTTTCTTCTTCCTTCTCTTCTTGGAGGATGAATTAATAAAAACCGTTTTATATTGCAGCTCCCAGAAGTGCAAACTTACTACTTAAACAGGTCAAAAAGATAACAGATGTGGACGTTATTATTCCTTGTTGATGCCCTCTCTAACGCCTTACATTCACCTATAAATACACACACATACTTCCATATAGAACGTGATATGGCAGGAAACAAAGATAATGAAAACAATATAAAGCTGAACTTGTGGATTTCCCCTAAAATAAAAAAGAAGACCAGAAACAAGATGATGAAAGACTAGCGGACATCTAGCCTTAATTTTTCCGCTTAGTATTCTTATGACACAAGGTATGTAGGATACACACAAAGGTACTTCAAAATGGAATTAACACGTTACATTATGAGTTAAATGGATTTGTCAGTAAAGTTAAACTGTAGGGACCAAAGAGTTGCGAACGCACTAGTGACCTTGGGGACAACCATAATACTGAGAGGTGAATTTGGTCTTCTAGTCCTAAAACTAATCCCTCCTTAACTTAGCCCTATTCTATCTTAAAATGATCCAAATATCTCCTTGATTAAGTTAACCTATTCCTAACTTGTCCATAGCATAAACTTAATCTAGAATTTACCATTCGAACCCTTCGCTGCTTAAAGTTTAACTTCGCAGGTTCATTAGTTTTCAATAGTAGTAACTTCAGCAGAAGAATCATCCAAGTAATGGAATCTAAGTGTTATTTCGGTTGGTAGTGGAATCCAAGATACGCATTTCGTTCTGTTTCAAACTAATTAGCTGAAGTGATGGTGTGTTCTCACACTGAAACTTGAACCGTGAACCCATCGCTACATACATTAAAGTATTTTCCATTAAACAATGAGGGCCACGACATCCGCCTCTTGTACAACGGGTATAACTAATTCTTTGTTTTTGGGTTAATGTGACTGTGGTGAAGGTTACTTAAACTGTCGAATTTCACTTTCAATCAAATCTTTAATCCTAAATTTCTTGTCGAACCCCACGGAACTACTTAATGCAGTGTTTTCAGGCGTTAAAGCACATATTGTATAAATTCTAACTGGTGATGACGCAAAACCAACCTTTTATCACCTCTCACTTCATTAGTTTTGGTTTTGTTTTCCTCAAGTTTCGCAGTGCAATCCACAATCAAAGACTATGCACAGTAATCGGCATAGGATAAAACACTTGAAAATCATAAAATCATGTCCAGTTTTCATCTTCCCTTGATCTTGAATATTGTAAGAAAGAAGTGTAATTGTTCACATCATAATGTTTTCTTTAAGACCCCATTAAAATATGTTGACAACATTTATCAAAAGGGTTGACATTCCAGAGAATAATTAATGAAAACCGAAAAGCATTACACAGCTGTTTCATGCAGTATCTTACTCATACACACAAACACACACACACGCACAGGGAAACTATTAGAACAACTGGTAAGCAACATTAACATATGTTCCTGGGTACACTGACCAAACTCACAACATATTGAATAAACAATTGCATTTGGCACTTTATTCATTTGGTTTTCGCATCATTTTTTTTATCGAAAACATATAAAATAAAAAAGAAAGAAGAAATAGCGGAATCCAGGAAACAACTATCATTATTACTACTTTAGTATTATTATTACTTATTATTATTATTACTACTTTGTTTATCAGTATTAATGCTTTCTTTTACTATTTCCGTGCATGTGTTTGTGTGCGTGTGTGTTTGCAGAGAGAGACCTGGTAAGCGGTAAGCTAAAGAAATCAGTACGGCAACAGGACCAAAGTAACCTGGAAAACACCAGATTTATGCCTTTCATTCAGTTTGTTTTCGTTTGCTTTGGGTTTTTTTTCTGTTTCTCTCGTCATATATTTATACTTATGTTGTATAGGCTGTCCTTATTGAAATGGTCTAGATATAGGATATGTAAATGGGCTTGTAAATAAAAACAAACGCATAAGTAATGCCTAAGCAAATAATTAAAGGACAAGTGTGTAGTGGGGAGCAGAAAGGGAAGGTAAATATGAAAATGAATAGAATACCGAATCAGTAGTGTTAGTTATTCAGGTCAACACTAGTATAACCTAGGTGATAGTGAATGCGTGAGAAATTCTCCTCCTTGCCAGTTTTGTCTTTTGCTAACAATCATCAGCAGTAATCATGGTATCATTTGGAGGCTTCGAAACTGATTCATTCAGAAACTAAATTTTGAGATTTTAACCCTGGGACATTTTAACAATAATTGATTACACCAATTGCTTGGATATTTAGTTCGACATGAATAGATATGCATCTTTCAGAAATAAGATTGAAATTAGGGGCTATGAAAATGATTTCAGTGTGACTGTTAGCTTGTATATGACACAACAATAGTCTACTATGCATCGCAGTTTTAAATAGTACGAGGTGGTATACCACTAACAGCAATGAAAATGACTGAAACAAATCAATCATTATTGTTATTATAAGTTCCTATGTGCGTCGGTGGGACGGTGGTTAGGATGCTCGCCGACCATGCACATGGTCCGGAGTTTGATCCCCGGCCGACGCACTCCTTTATCTCGTTGAGCCAGAAATAATGCTGGTAAAGAGGAAAGGTTGGGCATGAGGCTAGCTACCCTATCCTGTAAAAATAAACACTGCTACAGAAACTTCGAGCCTCTAGCTTGAAGCCCTATGTTCCAATGGGAACGTGAAGGAAAAAAAATGAAATGCGTATGTAGAATTGACAGTTAATTGAGTTTTTCGTGTTGATTCGTACTCTAATTTTCAAAACAATTAATAAGTGAAATTATATTTTTGCAGTTCAATGTATATATATATATAAATTGTTTAAAATACACTTCGTTCCTTTTATAAATTTGAATAGCGTTATTGGAAGACAAATTTTATCCGAAAAAATGTGAATAATGTATTTTTGTGCAATACACCTCCGTTCATAAGAAAAATGAAACATTAGGGAAAAATATGGAAAAATGAGTTCCACTGTTAAAAAGGAAGAAAAGAGCTTCCAAGTATCTACTGGGACGCTTGATGTTCAGGACTATGATGACTAAAGTGGGTGAAAAAACCTTTGTCTCATTAACCAATTTCTCTTCATGAAGGGGAATAAAGCGATTCAGGTGGGGGGGGGAGTGAATTTGTGTGAATTGTCTAAAAAAAAAGAAACGCCTCTCTGTTTATTTTTTTAAATTACTGAACCGATTAGTGACTGTTCGTCACAGAATAACCAGAGCAATGATTAAAGTATAATTCTACGAGGAACGTTTAACAGCTGCTATTCCACTCTATAAATCTGTTCGTCCACACTACATACTGACTTCCTTTAATAATCTGTGACGTTTCGCAGTTTATCAAATCGAATATACTGAACAACTTATCTCAAACTTGAGGACAAAAGCTGGTTCCTCTGAAAAGTTTATTAACTGTATGGATCACATCCAATCAAAAATAAACCTAAGAATTTTGAAAACCTTTTCAAAGTGTCTAATTTTCCGAATCTCCACAAAAATTAGTAGGTCATCGAAAAGCAAAGAGTACTGGACAGCTGTTTTATGATAGTAGTGAGATTTTTAGTAGTACACACGCATGATTCCACCAAGGAGTACAACCATGACTTCTAGGTCAAGAGGCGATTCCGTTTACCATTCAGCCAATAGACTGAAAGAGGAAGATTAATAAATTCTTGCTTTTATGAATTCTGGTAATTACCAACTCACTTCAAGATGGACTCTCGTGAATTCTGTTAGGAAATCGTAAACTGTGGGGTTCATCGAGTTGACTGTGAGAACAAATAATCTTTGGGTGCTTTGGATACCAGTAGTATTATATCCAAAATCGATGGAATTAAGAATCCAGAATTCATTGAACTCCAAATCAGTGGCTGAATAACCAACCGGCCCACCTAGCAACCTGGATTTGAGTCCCGGTAGAATGATGAGTGTGTACTGCTGAAAAGTCAAGAACTAGAATGGAAAAATATTCAGTGTTTTCTGGTTTTTTGACGGTTTCCCAAACAATTCTGACCTCTGATGCAATAAACCTTCAAGTCAGTCAACACTCCACAAACTCTATACTTGTGAGTCTCGATAAAGTAAGGCTTTTCTTCCACTTCTGACTGATATCTGTTCAGTCATCTTAGTCAGGGCGTCGGGCTATTCTACTAGTATTCAGTCAAGCCCTGGTTTTCTTTTGACTAAGTGAGTACAACCTAAACATCTAATAAGCTTCAGTGTCTAAAGCGTTAATCAGGCTGACTGACCGACTGAGTTTCGACGTAGGACTTTGTACAGAAGTGCATCATTCCAAGCTGCTGCACTCCATATCAGCACATAAAGGTAAAGAAAAATAAAAAATTTAAAGGAGCTATCATAAGCAGAAACGTACGGGATAAAGTATAGTAACACGGAATAAGATGTGGACTTAATGGATAAGAGAGATTACTAAGAGTGGATACGTCTGCACCATTGGAAACCATTTTAAGGCACATCACGAAAAGTCTCAAGCCATTGGTTCATACAATCTACAGCATCTCAACCAGGTAGTCTACATCTTCCTAAGTGACTCAGTCAGAAACGTGATGGACAAATGTCAGGTTTTGATCCCACTACCCCTAACTTCTTCCCAACCTAATCCTATTTCAGTTAACTTTATTCGAGGTCACAGGTATCTATGCCGTCTCAACTGATGCAGCTTCGTAACATCATTGATTAACATGCTCTCCTTATCTAACACTCTAAGTCCAACCTCAGTAATACTTCCTACACTATACCATCAAACATGAAACACGACTAGCCTCTTCACGTCCCCTACTTTCAACTGTAGTAGTGCAGTAGCTATATGTCACACCTGAGCTTGAGATAAAGTAGGTTGGCAAATGACACACAGGGCCTTTTAATCCATACTCAAATTTCGCTAGCAATCAATCCATTATGGTTGATTCAACTCCCAAAATTATTGAAGTGACCAACACACCCTACCACTTCACTCCCTATCTTCAAACTGCTAGTGGGTGAATACCAGTCCCGAAGCATCATCTTATAAAGGGAGGATAGCACGCGAAACACACTAAGATTTCTGCTTCAGGACAATATCATCCGTATTGATCTATATTTAGTCAATTCTAGGAATAACAAACTTATTCACATTTGGTGAGAGCCTATCACTTTAACTGAACTTCTAGGAATTATAGTTTATTTAAATCTGTAATAAACTGAGATTGTGTGGTTGAATGCATATGAAATTTATCAGTAAAACAGACTATTCTCTGCCTTAACCATTTCAAGCTATGTAAAAATTATGTAGATAAAATTTCAGCTGAATTGAAATTAGTAATCCCAACTTTTCGTTCGCCAAAATGTCGTGAACTTCTTCAGGGAAGTGTTCAAAATCTCCGAACGCAACGCTAGAATTACTTATTTCAAATTCGCCGGAATTTTACAAATACAATGCTTACACGTGTTTGCCTCTCACTCGGTGCCCAATTATTTTGGAACTATCCAGTCAAATCTTGATCACAGATCATGTGTATTATTATTAAGTCTTCAACAGCTAACAGATAATTATTAGTTCAAATGCAAAAGTTATCACTGGAATTAAATGAAAATTGTGTTAAATATTTTGAGATATAAACAAACGCGTATTCATACTTTGGTAGTGAATCTCACAGATACACACAGAGTCCCTCAATATTGTACAAAAGGACTTCGCATACACCATCTGTACATAGCTGAGGCATTAGCTATTCGGGATTTGCAACCGGACCTTTGCATTCAAAAGCGCTACATACATTCACTCGCCCTACCGTGGCCAAACTAAAGCTCTTACTATAATTTTGCTTCTTATTTTTTATTATTTAAGTTTACTATTATTACTGTTACGGCTACTATTATTTTATTATCATTATTATTCCCACCATCCATATTTTATTACCACTCTATCACTGCTTATTAATTGCATTGCTTTTTCATACAGATTTTATGTAAAAAACACTTTACCGCCTTTCCACCAGTTCCTGTTCATTCTACACGAGCTTATTGATTAGTCATTTATCTCACACTTATACGTCATGCCAACTTCTGCCTCTTTTCTACCTTCCAATTAGTCACACCGTCTAGACTGCACCCTCCATTACGTAATACTTTTCTGGAGGAGAAATTTCACCAGTATCTGATTGGTCTAATGATTTCTTTGTTAGATATAATTACGATTGTACAGCTCATGAAAATGAATTGTCGAAAAGTAAATTTTCTTCGCTGTTTACGCCTTTTTCTTATGACTGAACATGGGAATATTTCGTTCATAGATTTATCAATTTACTTATATTATTATAGCTTGATTCCACACAGTATTTTCGGTACAAGTATGGAATTTTCAGCATGTCATATCGGTAGCCCAAATTTAGCAGGCCGACCATTGATTTCAGGTGTGCTTTGGCCGGGGATCGAACGCCGGATCATGTGCATGATCGGCGAGTGTCCTAACCTCTGTGCCACCAATGCACAGATAGATTGATAGATGGAGCAAAGTGAGTTATCGACCTCTCAACGAATTAGGAGAAGGAATAAAATTTTTCTATAAGGGTAAATTAACTCCAAGAAACTATTCCAATAAATAATATAAATAATAACTTTTTTCTAGGCTTAAGTTTCAAAATTGCTGATGCATCCATGACAATTACAAATGGGTTCATGGGTTCATTAACAGAGATTCGACTGATTACAAGTTGAATCATGAATTGATTTCAATAAGAAAAACCAATTGACCATTCAACCCCTGGGATCGAACCCAGTACACATTAATTCTGACTTCTGCCAAGTTTATATATATATTGCTGTGCTAACCTCGTAACCTGAAGATCCTTGGCAGGACCTGGATGCATACTTCTGAAGAGTTCTGAACTAGGAAGAAATCTCCTGGTTTTCAACGTTTCTGTAATTGAAGTCAATTCACAAACCAACTTGCAGTCACGAATCTCCTAGTACGATGATAATAACACTATGACACTTGGTGAATAGAATTTTTTCAGCGCCTGGATTTAGACAATCTGAAATAGTGATGCAAAAGTCAAAGTTAACTAACTTTTAATTACAATATGATAATAAGTTGTAGATGACTTACATTAAAATGAAATTGATAGAAAAGTAACCTTTGGCTTAAGTGTTACTTCAATGTGAATTAAAACTGTTTTACCATAATCAACAAAAGTGATTCTAAAAGATGTCTACAAGTACTTTTCCATTCTAATATCAACCTATCAAAACCAATTCAGAAAAAAACAAAGAAAAGTCGAACTGGTTACAAAATGATCATATTGAAATTTTGCAGTAGTTATGAACTACGGAAATTTGTGCATTCCTCAATATGGTATTTGTAAAGTTATCCATCAAATCATATTTAGAAAATCTATGTAATCTATTAATAAACTAGGCGATAATTTCATCTTATGACCATGAGTAACTGTCATTTGGTTAGACAGATGCTTTGAAGCAGAACAGAAAACTGTCCCAACTTCTAAACACTCTAAAGCCTTGGATGAACTGCAATATGTTTTAGAAATCATTGTTTTTAGACATTTGATCTAATTCACATCACAATCATGTGCACCGGTGGTTCAGCAGTAGAACGGTCCCCAACCACACACGTGGTCGGGGATTCAACCCCCAGGCCGACGCAATCCTTAGACTCGATGAGCTGATATTAAGGCCAGTAAATGGGGAAGGCTCGGCGTGAGGCTAGTAACCCAATCCTGCAAAAATAAAACCACTGCTACCGAAACCTCAAAGCTCCAACTTGAAGCCCCATGTTCTACTGGGGACGTAAAGGAATAAAATAATTTTTTTTAAATACATCGCAGTTAATCAGTCTATGTGTATATGATCAACAAAAAATATGGCCCAATTGTTACTGAAATGATTGAATCCTATTAAGAAATTCTACTGAGTTTTTAATTTAGCACGTAAATTGTGAATAACCGACTTCGGTGACCTCCTTTTTATTAAGCTAAATATTTTTAACTAAGTGATATTGTGAAGAAGAAGAAAACTTTTGAAACACCACTTTTGTGGAAATTACGTCTGATTCAAGGTGTATCACGTCGAGAATAAGTGGATACTCCTCAACAGGAACAAAACAGCTATCCAGTGTTTATTCAGGTGTTAAACTAAAGTTGCCTAATGACGTACGCCATCTTGAATTGAAATACATCCTGGAGATTTTGATCGGATTGAATAATAAACGGAAGTTAGAACTTTTTAAATTTGGTTACTTAGTTGTTGAGGGAGCTGTATGGAACTCAGCTGACTTCTGGTGCACAAAATTACTTCTGGTCATGCAGCATCAGCAGAGACTTCTTCTAGAGTCATAAATAAAGTACGAGCAAGCCGTTCCAAATGATTTCGTCTGTATCTTCTTCGGTATCTTTAGCAACCCTAAAGCAGAAACTTGAACTTTGTCTTCAGAGACGTTTTTGTCCAGCCTCTTTTACTACAGTGGCCTTAGTTTCAATCTAGTCTTCGTGAATTATGTGTATAATAAACTCTGTGTAGTCCTTCTTTACTTCTGTAAACTTTTGTAATTCTTTTTCAACTCTTTGTTCTCTTGTTTTTGATCAATTATTTCCAGACGATTATTAATCAGTTGACCAGTTAGTTGTCTACCACCTTGATTACGTAGGATTATTCCTAATTTTTCAAACGTTGTTATTACTCACACACTTTGGTTTGCCTTTGTCGCTAACCGACAACAACCTCCGACCTCTACTACCAACTAACACTGTGTATACATAAATCACCTCAATATCTGTACAGCTTTGAAGTGAAGTTACAAAAACAGATGTCTCTTTGCTGACTTATGTGTTCTTAATTACACTACATGGGAGTTTTTCATGCCTTGAACTTATTTCCATCTTGTAAGATAATTTTACTGGTGTTGAGACAACAGTTATGACGAAGTAATTTTTTAAATAATAACTAGGATCTCTTTTCTCTTCAAACCTTTTTTTTCCTCTCTGAATATCCCATTAAGCTGTTACCCCACTGCCTAATGGGAAAAATTCATTATTATTTCTAATAGAAATATGATACTAATCTGTAAAGTAGCGGAAGTCAATTCTAAAATAGAATAGCAGACTTATTGCTCATGTCGACAACTGACATCGGTATTTGAGTCTGTGAAACTTCGGTCACTAAGAATGATTTCAGTTGTATACCTCTATGCTTTTGAATGGTAGGTAATGACTGATACTAAAACAGGCTATTTGTTGCGGTGTACGGTTGTTGTGTTTCATTGCTATTTAAGCGTTACCACCTAAGAAGTCTTCCAATGTAAATCATCTAACTTTATAGGAGTATTTTTGCACATCTTCGACAGCATCACACTTCGCAGAAAATTAGGTTCAAACAATCGAAGGTAGGATTTGCTGTTGACTATTGAAAAACACAAAAACGACTGACCGAAAATGTTTTGTAAGTCAAATACATTCCTAGTCTCGCAATCATTTTGTTTTATTTAATAATCTCTAGTTTATTCTGAAGTATTTTTTTTAAGTGCATACAAACAGATTAGACTTCTATGAGAAGAATTTAGTCGAACCGACTGAAATGACGTAAACAGCACATTCATTTACGATAGTGTTTCATTTTACTGCATAAAATATTCAAGGGTTTATTTCTCTAAATTTCTGTCTATTTCTTTATTATTTTCAATTTCTCGTCCAATAATTTACATAAATTACTCCGCTTGTTTATGATAAATTGTTTCTTTTTTTTCTAAAAAATCTCATTTCTATTCAATATTTCTCTTTACCAGTAATGTCCATTAATACCACAGCTTAGTCGAT